GCTCAGTTGGTCAAGCATCTGGTTCTTGATTTTGGCTCAGGTCATGATGCCATGGTTCGTGAGATCAAGCCCCACGTCAGTCTCTCTACTGACAGAGAGGAGCCTGCTTGGAATTTCCTCTCCCTCTCTTTCTCTGAAAATAAATATATAAACTTAAAAAAAAAAAAAAGAGGCTTTTGATGACCTGAATTCATGGATTCTCTCAGAAAAATGTACATACAGACAAAATTTTGTATATATCTTCACCAGGTAAAGAGCTCTTGCCCTGGAGATCTTTAAAATGCATACTTAAGGGGCGCCTGGGTGGCGCAGTCGGTTAAGCGTCCGACTTCAGCCAGGTCACGATCTCGCGGTCCGTGAGTTCGAGCCCCGCGTCAGGCTCTGGGCTGATGGCTCAGAGCCTGGAGCCTGTTTCCGATTCTGTGTCTCCCTCTCTCTCTGCCCCTCCCCCGTTCATGCTCTCTCTCTGTCCCAAAAATAAATAAACGTTGGAAAAAAAAAAAATTTAAAATGCATACTTAAAACAGTGACTGGGTGCCTCTAAACTACATTTTACTACTTTGGCATCAACTTTATAAACATAAAACTTCTAGGTTCTTTAAACTATTTGGGGAAAGTCATTCTTTCCTACTAAACCCACTTAATCCTTATGAGCAAAATTCTTAAATTTTCTAAAAATCTTAGAAGTGTATTTATGATTTCCCTTCCTTTCTAAAACATCCATGACAATGTATATAAAAGATGAAACAAGGGGCGCCTGGGTGGCTCAGTCGGTTGAGTGTCCGGCTTCGGCTCAGGTCATGATCTCACGGTCCGTGAGTTCGAGCCCCGCGTCGGGCTCTGTGCTGACAGCTCAGAGCCTGGAGCCTGTTTCAGATTCTGTGTCTCCCTCTCTCTGACCCTCCTCCGTTCATGCTCTCTCTCTCTGTCTCAAAAATAAATAAACGTTAAAAAAAAAATTAAAAAAAAATAAAAGATGAAACAAATTATACTGAAATAACATTGGTTAGTTAGAACGTGGGATTATGGGTAAGTTATTTTTTTTTTTCCTTAAGACTTCCTTTCAAGTTGTTTTAAATTATTTTTCAAAAGGTTTTAGTTGTTTTAAAATATTTCTACTGTAAGGTTCTGTCAAAAACACAAACAAAAAGAAAGGTCTCTAGACTTACATAGAATTCTCTCATCAGAACCAATCAGTATATATTGTATATTACTATGTTGCACATAAAAATACATACTGTATAAATAATATATACATTATATATTATTTAATTCTCCCAACAATTTATTATTCCTATTTTTATCATCATTACAACTCATTCACGTTCAAAGAAAAAGTCAGGATTCAAACCCAGGTATGTCTAACACATACACCCCTTTCTCACAAACTCAAACCTCAGCCTATACTTGGTTGCTATGTCAATAAGACTGGACTAGCAAAAGTTCTTTCAAAGATCTGCAATAAATATAATCTCTTTGAGGATGATTAAGGTCAACCTCATGGTAGCAGTTATAAGAGGGCTCTGGTACATATATTATGAAATAAAAAAGTATATGAAAACACTTTGGTAAATCATGCTATTAATAGTTTTATAACAGAAATAGAAAGATTTATAAAGAACAAACCCAAAAACATCACAGATTCTGGTTTGTACCCAAATTAAATTCAGAAAGCACCAAATGTTGCCCTAAAGAATGCGAAGCTCTACATAACATTTAATTTTTCTACGTTGATCCTAAACTAATGATAACTACAGCTTTAAGGAAGCATAGTCTATGTTCAAGAATAAGCAGAATCACCAGAAAAGTTAAATATATTAGAATATAACAACATAAATTCACCTCACAAAAATATTAGTCTGTTATAATAAATGACATTATAACACAATCTACTCATCAAGGATTACAGCAATGTCAGAGTATAGTTTCCAAGTAAATATTTTTCTTTCTACTTGAAGGAAAATGGATTTTAAAATTTTGATTCAATTCAATGAATATTTAGTGTACATGTCCTCCAGACCAGGCTTTGTGGCCATAAAATTAACCAAGGCAAGAGGTCTGCCATTCCCCTCTCTGTAAGACCACTAAGACTGGGGGACAGAGATGGGGAAACTGCATAGAGAGGCAGGGGATACATACCACACATTCAAGCACTTCTAAAACAATATGGAAATCGTAGTAAAAATAATAGTATGAAAAATGTGCTGTGTAAATACACAGAGGGAAATGATTATTCTGCCCAGACCTGTCTACTGAACCTCAAACTAATATATCTAACTACGTATTTGACAGACCTACTTGGATGTCTAACTGGCATCTCAAACTTAACCTGCCTAAACCTGAGTTGCTGAACAATCTACCATATTTGATCCTCTTGTTTTACTCATCTAGGGAATGGCTACACTATTTTTCCAATTGCTCAAGTCACAACCTTCAGTCATCCTTCACTGCTTTCTCTCACACCTCACATCCAATCCATCAGCAAATAATGTCAACTGACACCTTCAAATACATCCAAAATTCCACCAATTCTCAACATTACTGTTACCACTTTGGCGTAAGCCAATGCTATTATCATTCTCCAGTAAGCCAACTGCTTCCTAAAAGGTCTCTCTGCTTCTGCCCTTAATCCAATTTGTCTTGTTAAAATGTAAAGTCAGTTCATCACACTTTTTTTTTAACGTTTATTTTTATTTTTGATAAGAGAGAGGGAGAACAAGCATGCGTGAAGTGGGGAGGGGCAGAGAAAAAGGTAGACAGAGGATCTGAAGCAGGATCTGCCCTGACAGCAGAGAGCCTGATGAGGGGCTCGAACTCACGAACCGTGACATCGTGACCTGAGCCAAAGTTGGACGTTCAGCAGACTGAGCCACCCAGGTGCCCCATTTCATCACACTTCTTAAAGTCCAACAATGCCTTCCCATCTCACTGTGAATAAAGGTAAAGTGCTAACAAAGGCCTAAAAGACTGAACACAATCTGGCCCCTCATTACCTCTCTAATTTTATCACCTACTACTCTCTTCTTCATACACCCCAGATTTAGCAACAAATAATCTGGGAAAAATACAAGGAGAGGGGAGGGGTGGGCAACGGTTTACTTTGTAACACTATTATTTCAAATATGAATACCACTTAAGAATAAGTAATGAATTTTATTTGAAATTGTGACTACTCAGTTCAACACTATTTACCATAGAATGTCAAAAATTAATATAAGTATTAACCCTTAAAAAATATGGTAATGCGGGGTGCCTGAGTGGCTCAGTCAGTTAAACGTCCGGCTTTGGCTCAGGTCATGATCTCATGGTTCGTGGGTTCCAGCCCCACATTGGGCTCTGTGCTGACAGCTCACAGCCTGGAGCCTCTTCAGATTCTGTGTCTTCCTCTCTCTCTGCCCTTCCCCCACTCACGCTCTGTCTCTGTCTTTCAAAAATAAATAAACATTCAAAAAAATATACATATGTGTGTGTGTGTGTGTATGTATGTATATATGTATATATACACACACACATATATATACATATATACATACACACACATGTATGTATGTATATATGTATATATACACACACACATATATATACATATATACATACACACATGTATGTATGTATATATGTATATATACACACACACATATATATACATATATACATACACACACACACACACACACACACACACACACATATACATATATATATATATGGTAACGGATCTTCGCGGTAAACTCCACAAAGACAGACAAAAATACTAAAAATCGTTTCAAGAGTATCCCAGGCCCCCATAAAGCCCATTCATAAATAGGACAGAGAATGGTGGCAGAAAAGAATATACGTGTAAAAGTTACATGTGGTTAAGAAATAAGCATATGTATATTTATTGGATGCTCAGGTAGAAAAAAAGATACTTAAGATTCCACAGCTGAGTCAAACTTGTACCTGTAGGAGGGAAGAGATTTGGGGAGAGAGACTAGGATTAGGAAAGCAAGTTCCTAAGCCTTGAAATGAACCTTTTCCAGAGACCCCAATAATACTCCTAAACCAGCTCACAGGTTACTATACAAATCTAGCAGTTAATTTTAAGAGAAATGTTATCATTTCTCTTTTGTTACTCATAAAACATTTGTGAAAATACATTAATGCCTAGAAGATTATTACCTATGCTGTGATAACTTTTGTACTTAATTGTTTTATGACGTGAATCAACAAATTATTCCTGAAGCACTATGAATCAGCTTAACACAACAACAGAACTGCAAAAGTAAAACTAATTTATTACGTGGATCGATATTGGCACTCCCTGAAGTAAAGTTTTCTAAAACCAAACAATAAAGTAAAATTACACTGACTTCTTGGTATTATTTGCTTTTCCAGATGGTAATTTGAAACCTACTATAATTTTAGCATTAACCTCTAAATACAATGGTACCTAAGCTGTCCTAGGCTGTAGAAACCTAGGGAAAATTTTCAGTACCAAGGTACAGAATAAAATTTAAAAGGCAGCGAAGAAGAATAACTAAAACAAATTATTTATAGGCTTGTGAACAATGTTAAGCAATTAGTGGGTCTACCAACACTTAAGCTACTTAACTTGATATTCCTTCTCTCAAAAAAGATCTTAATTCTCTTTTATTGCAATAATGCCCATATTATGGCATGAAAATATGAATGCACTGAAAAGCCAGAAGAAATACTCCAACAGTTTGCTATGAAAATCAAAAACGTATACAATCACACACACACACACAGAGCTACAAAGGGCTACACGTTTCTTCTAGTTTATCTAATGTTCTCTGTGCAGCAGCCTCTCCTCTCTCCTATGTCGCTACCTTGTCTATATTAAAGCTATGGCTAATGTCTATTTTCTTTGCAACTTGGTTATGGTCGGTAACATTTAACCTCTGCAATGGATGGGAAAAAGTACCTTCGTGCTTACCTGATACTTTTAAATGTGTAATTTTTAAACGAATTTGCTTTCCATTGCAAGTATTCCTCACCTGTTTGAACATCAATAACCATCTGATGGCCCCCTCTCATTCCTGGTCGGTTATCTTCTCCATCACCTGAAGAAGAAACAATATTTTATTTTAAAAGAATAACACAGAATAACTGTAAATCTAGACTAACTTCGTAAGTCTGTAACGAGTAGTGTAAATAATACATTTACTCATTCAATATTAAGAACCAGTAAAAAGACTCAAAAGAAGAGTGTAACTGTGTTTACAGTAATTACCTTGCTCCTTTTCCTGCTTTCTTTCAGGCTATTAATGCAACAGGAAACTATTTTCAATGTATTTATGACCAGTGCCATAAATCAGCAAGAACAGAGGATATTCCACAAAAGCATAAGACAATAAACTCTAAAGTACTGGAGTGACACAGTAAAGGTGGAAAGCAGTTACAGGTCTCTGTACCAGGCATACCTAACTTAGTATAATGAATTTCAAAGTTCATACAGCTAGCTACTGAAAACCAAGATGTTATCAAGTTTCATATTAATTTATATTACCGCATAGTTTACCAAATATTTTGAGTACTGACTGAGAAGTGTTAAGATTTACTTCCTTTTGTTTTTGTTTTTTTTTAAATATTTTTTTAACGTTTATTTATTTTTGAGACAGAGAGAGACAGAGCATGAACGGGGGAGGGGCAGAGAGAGAGGGAGACACAGAATCGGAAGCAGGTTCCAGGCTCCGAGCTGTCAGCCCAGAGCCCGATGAGGGGCTCGAACTCACGGACCGCGAGATCGTGACCTGGCTGAAGTCGGACGCTTAACCGACTGCGCCACCCAGGCGCCCCGATTTACTTCCTTTTGATTCCTATTTCCATCACAGAGCTTAATGGGAAGTTTGAAATATAATCAAGGAAACTTTAAAACTTCTGTAGAACTACTGTTCAACTTATATCAAATCTTACTTTATACCAAATCTTGTTTTAATGAAGATATAACTTCATTTCAGTGGTTCAGTAGGGTTGTAGGATTCTAATGTCTTACTTAACGTAAACCAAAAAACCTAAGATTTTCTTTATACCTCTCCTAATAATTGAAATACATTACTTTGGTTAATAATTTTCCCTGTATCAGCTTTCTCCTATGTAAAACAGGGACCATCCAAGATTTTACTAATTTCACAGGGGTACCATGAAAAAGACTGAAATGTCAGTTCTCATCTGCAGAAAGAAAATGAGATGCAAAACAGAAACATTCCATTACTGCTATGTTCAAGGACCATTCCTTCAGAAGTTCTCTGTAAACCTTCTCCTTTCCAATAGTTAAGATTTTGCAGCTCATTATATTGAAGTTTGATGTTTTCTTCCTTCTTCCCCCCCAATCAGGATTGCCATTTTCAAGAAGAGACTAAAACACTAACATTTGCATTTTATATATTTAATCCATTAGTTTTCCAATACACAACTAAAATCTGTCTGCTACGTGTTTCTCTGATGAAAATTACCTCAAAAATGACTGATAAAGGAGAAACGACGTCTGAATAATAGAAATTATGGAGGTTCATAAGCAATTTTTCCCAGTATATTAATGTTTAACACCATCAGGGGAGAGCTTTCTCACAATCAAAGAAAAGGGTTTAGCAATTTATGAAGTCTGTAGGAAAACGTTAAATATCCATAGAACTGTCTTTCCTTAATGCAAGTAACTGCACTAACCAATTGCTACACTTTCCACTATGTTAACCATCTGGCAAAGCAGGGAGTCAAGAACAAGAAGTGACAAATATTTCCCCCTGTAGGACAAAATGGATTAATGAAAAGTACGTCCTGGATCAGATTTTGATAAAGTTTTGATAAATACCCTCTAGGGTCAACAGCTCAAAGACGGAAGCAAGAGTCCAAGGGTTTAAGGCTCCAAAGTCACTGTGATGCTCAATATAAGTGCCTGTGAAGAGTTAACTGTACTAGTTTTTATTTTTATTAGGGTTACTACACTAGTTTTCATTAATATACGCTTAAAATGTTCCATGGATTTAGACTGGTAGGCCCCATTCCTACTTTTCTCATAAGCCCTGTTAGCTTCAGCAAGCAATTCTGCAGAATCGAAGGTTTATCAGGAACATGTCTAGCATTACAATACATATGCCCATAATTTTACAGTACCTCTATAAAGGCAGTTTATGAGGGTATTCTGTGTGAAAACCGCTCAGCCTTCTGTTTTAGTGGTGAAACAAAAAGATTCAAGAGAAAAATATAATAAACTAACTCATCTAGTTAAGGTACCTAGGTCTTGTTTTAAACACCTGCTTTTCCTTAGCAAAGCATTGGATAACTTGAGAAGAGTGAAGCTGAGACATGACAGCAAGACTCACAATCTAGAAAACAGGGCTTACCCTTGGTGCTTTTGGGAATGATTTGACTCCATCGTGGCTTATATTCTTGTTGACTGATATACTGATTGAATAAACCATCTGCAAATATCAAAGAACGAGAGAGAATTTTACATTAACCGGCTTACGCTTTTTTATTGTAGTGAAAAAAAAAAAAAAGCCTTCATTAAGGGAAATTACGAATACACTAAGAATAGCACACTTCCATAAAATGTGTCACTTCAGTTCTCACGTTATCTCAAATATAAATAGTACAGTACTAGTTGACACAACCATGTAAACAAACTCTTTTAGTGGCAGCTCATACTCAATTTACTGCTTTCCCTGTTTTGGTCGCTACTAAGAAAAGACTACAGAAGAAACATTGCACCGCAACAACTCTGGTCCAGGCCCTTATAGCTTCAGGAAAAACAAAGTGAAAATTCATATTTAAAGTGAAAATTCCATTTTTACATCATTTTCTTTGAGTACAAAACTACAGAGATAAAAGTACCAGTAATGGTAGGGTTACATATTTACCAAATACTTATGAAGTGTTAAAATTCATTCTGTCTTAGTTAAGACAGACTAAATATGATTTAATTCTAAAATCAACTTTACAGGGGCACTTGGGTGGCTCAGTCAGTTAAGTGTCCGACTTCGGCTCAGGTCATGATCTTGCAATTCGTGGGTTCGAGCCCCGTGTCGGGCTCTGTGCTGACAGCTCAGAGCCTGGGGCCTGCTTTGGATCTGTGTCTCCCCCTCTCTCTGCCCTCCCCCCCATCACTCTGTCTCTCTCTCTCTAAAAAATAAACAAACATTAAAAAAAATTAAAACACCTTATGAACGAGGCATTATCATCTCCATTTTTACACATAGGGAGATGTGTGTTTACAGAAATGAATGAACCTCACTAAAATCATGCAGCATTTAGTGGTGGACAGAGATTTATGTTTCACTGTTTTATTTCTGAATTTATTATTTCATCGATAAATTCTTAATCTACTTCTTAAGGGTTGTTACACTAGTTGCCATAGTGATTATGAAGACTGAACTACCCACATATATATCCATTTCATCCCAAATAATTATCAAAACCTAATCCCATGCCCGTCAACAAAGATTAGTTTAGGAATGGTATGGAACTCAATTCTGGCTAATGTGTCCAATGTTCCCTTTGCTTCTAAACAGACATACCGAAAAGAAAAATCTGCTTCTATTCCTCTGGAAACTTTCCTATCTGTACGCAATATACATAACTGCTACAGCCAATCTGTAGAGGCAGGAGAATGAAGTCAATTCTCTAATGATGACAATGCAGAGAGAGAAAAAGGAACTGCATCACTGAATTGACTAACAATGGAATCTACCTCTGGACTTCTTATTATGTCATATAATAACATTTTCTTACCTTTTTAAAAATATGTTTGTTTACTTATTTTTGAGAGAGAGAGAGCAAGAGCTAGAGTGTGCACAAGCTGGGGAGGGGCAGAGAGAGAGAAAAAAAACAGAGAATCCCAAGCAGGCTCTCCACTGTCAGCCCAGAGCCCAATATGGGGCTTGAACCCAGAGACCGTAAGATTATGACCTGAGCTGAAATCAAGAGTTGCTTAACTGACTGAGCCATCCAGGCATCCCTACATTTTCTTCAACAAGAGTTTTCTTTTACATGAATCCAAATAGATTCTAAAGACAACTTTATTGTAAATTCTATCATTTGACTCTGAAAAAAGGTTTTCCCTTTTACTTTATTTAGTCCCTGAACGTAAATTTGTAAGTAAAACGGTCTGTTCTCCATGACAGTGTAATACACAGAAATCTCCCTAATTTCTTTCTTTTCTGGGTAATTATGAAGATCAATTATAACCATACCCTTTAGCTTTCAAGTCTTTTCAGATGACTTTAAGTGAAAGCTTCCATCTTGGGATATATACTCCTCTAGCTGTTCTTTTTCTTTGCCTTTAGGTCTTCAACAAAATTCTCGCAAAAAGAAAGTTCTAATATTCATCTTCCCTTTTTTAAAATAGCACTCACACATTAGCATTTATATTTTAATTGTCAAAGGGGAACAAGGGGTGCCTGGGTAGCTCAGTCGGTTAAGTTTCTGACTCTTGATCTCAGCTTAGGTCTTGATCTCAAAGTCGTGAGTTCAAGCCCCACAACAGGCTTAGAAAAAAAAAAAAAGTATGAGGAACAAGTTGATTCATGACTTACTTTAGTGAGTGTTTCTATCATAATCCACCCCCTGCATGCTTTTCTTTTCTAAGTTTTTTTTTAATGTTCATATATTTCTGAGAGACAGAGAGAGACAGAGACAGAGTGTGAGCGGGGGAGGAGCAGAGAGACAGGGAGACACAGAATCGCAAGCAGGCTCCAGGCTCTGAGCTGTCAGCACAGAGCCCAATGTGGCGCTGGAACCCACCAACTGTGAGATCATGACCTGAGCTCAAGTCGACGTTAAACGGACTGAGCCATCCAGGTGTCCCTCCCCTGTGGGCTTTCCTGATAATTCTTGCCCATCCAACCTACTCTGACCAATACTCTTCTCCCATTACAAGACTGGAAATCTTTTTGCAGATAAAATGTTGTGGGGCTCTGTTAGTAATGGTAAGTTGTGAGACACATAAAAGTTACATAATCCTTTTTCCAAAACCTGAAACAGAAGATAAAATTATTTGATAAAGATTTAAAAATATACATTAATTTTAAAATATATATTAATTCTACATAATGGCTAACTGAAGAGAAATGAAAAAAGTAAAAGATGGGAATATACAGAGATGAGTAGAAAACTAAGAAAGACAAACTGCAGACGTGAAAAACACAAAGCAAAAATAGAGAAAATAAGAGAAGTCATAAATTTCACATTTTTAACAGTAATCAACTGCCATATTACTTACATCTCTCATACTAATTATAATTAGTTATACAACTTTGATAAGTAAGTTCCTTATCTCTAAAGCTGGTGTTTAAGAGTTAGGTAGGCCAGTGGGGCACATGGGTGGCTCAGTGGATTAAGTGTCTTACTTCGGCTCAGGTCATGATCTCGCGGTTCACGGGTTCGAACCTCCCATCAGGCTCTGTGCTGACAGCTCAGAGTCTGGAGCTGACTTTGGATTCTGTGTCTCCCTTTCTCTCTGTTCCTCCCCTGCTCATGCTGTCTGTCTCTCTGTCTCTCTGTCTCTCTCTCTCTCAAAAAGCTGGATAGAGCCAGTGGTTCCTTCCAAATTCTGGCACACTAAGATTACACCACCGTTACAACCAATATATTTACTGAACTACATGTGTCAGGTGATTCCACTTTATGTTCGTCCTAGAAAAGTCTCCATCTCCTCTTTCTCCTTAAGCCTTGCAGCACTATTCTGAAAGAGAACTCAAACCCACTGGGGAAAATTCTTCTGAGAGCTGCTAAGGCAGTGATCACATCAACAGTTCCAATCAAATGGATGACCCCATCCCTGATCTTTAAAGTCCTTCTGCACATTGCAAGTAAAATTAAGCTCTCTAATTGTTTCTTCAGCCAATCCTTTCACCCCAACTCTTACTAACTTAAAAAGCACACAAATACTCATCAAGATCTTCATGTTGGTTTTTTTTTCTATCAAATACAACTGACCTAAGAAAATACGGTCAGTAATTTTCAAAGTAAAAAGAACAAACCCCCCAACATTATATAATTTTTGTAAAATAATTTGTAAATATACACAGACACACAGATGGAAAAAAAACAACAGTGCCATACACTGAAAAGGTGTGATTTTCTTTGGTTTCCAGGTTTAGGATGATTTTTTATTTGGGTATTTTTATTTGTACTTTACTGTTTCCCCAATTGTTTTGCATCGAGTACTACAATTACCAGAAGAAAAGCCACAAAGCAACTAAATATATGGAATTATTTCTAAACCTCAGAAGAACTTTGTAACATATTGTTATTATAACATAATGTAACAAAAACCATTTTCATAGCCTTTGTTACTCCTGAAATGTCTATTCTTCACAACTCACTAGACACATCCACATTTCGTAAGTGCTTTTATACACTGATGTTAGCTTGTTTTTAACAAGGACAAAGAGCCAAATACACCCAAAGTATTTACAATCAGGCTTGCAGAGGATATTACTTGCAAAATTTTAAATATTAAGTACTCCATGGGTTGTCTGGGTGGCTCCATCAATTAAGAGTCTGACTCTTGGTTCAGGTCATGATCTCATGGTTCTTGAGTTTGAGTCCCGCTTCGGGCTGCATGCTGAGACTGCGGAGCCTGTTTGGGATTCTCTCTTTCCCTCTCTGCCCTTTCCCCACTCATGCACACTCTCTCTCTCTGAAAATAAATAATAAACTTAAAATTAATCTTCTCATGAATAATGATAGTTAATAGCATAGCATCAGATATACTCAGTATATAATAAACGCTTAGAGGGGCACCTGGGTGTCTCAGTTGGTTAAGTGTCTGACTTTGGCTCGGGTCACAATCTCACAGTTTGTGAGTTCGAGCCCCAAGTTGGGGTCTGTGCTGACAGCTGAGCCTGGAGCCTGCTTTGGATTCTGTGCCTCCTTCTATCTCTCTGAGCCTCCCCTCCCCCCCACCCCATCTTAAAAATAAATAAACATTAAAAAAAATTAAAGAAAAAATAAAAGCTTAGAATAGAAAAAAAGGCAGGGGACAGGCAGAGTTCCCTAGCCACACGGTTGACATTTTTTCTGAGTCATCTTAATGTTACTAAGTATCTTACATTAAAACAAAATGCTCATAAAACTCCTACTTTCAATAAAGCATTTTCTTACCATATAATGGCACCCTAACAAGTCACAGCATTTTACCCAGAGTAGTCAAGCAAACATTTGAAAAAAAAAAAATTATTTGGGGAACTTTTAAATTTGTCTCCATCTCTCCCTAATGAATTCATTTTGTGTTCACTATTCTAAAAGACAACAATTCTCTTTGATGTCTCCTACTCTTCTGTGGAGACTATTATGAAACCTAAAGAAAATTATTCAGATATAACATTATCAAATCTAGAAATAGCTTTTCAAAAAAGATCTTACCAAAGAAAAAGGAACTGACTTTTGCTGAGTACCAACTGTGAGCAAGACACCACAA